CTGCCTCACTTCCTGCTTGCGCAATGTAATTTCACCACCCTTTCGTGGCTGCCTATGAGCAAACTAGCAGGATATGACGGACACTCGTGTGGTGAACAAAAGTTGGATTGCGGAACAGCACCCACAGGTGGAAGTCAGAGTGGAAAAGCCTCTGCGGAACTTGCTAAGTGGAACAGCAAGCGTCTATTGGTATCCTGCAAGTTAAGTCTCTGGGGGCAAGATGGCTCAGTGATTAGAGCACGAATTTACTGACCGGGAGGTCCGTGGTGGTTCGAACCTGACCTCTGCTTCTCAACTTCCTCTGTCTAGACTTGGGCAACCTGGCAGTATCCCAGCCCCCTTCTGGTGGCATGGCAGCTAGGCGCCAAAAGGATGCTATAACTTAATGTTTTTTCGAAGTTAAGCCCCATTCCGTTTGCATAGGTCTTCCTTCTAGAGACTATAGGTATACCTGTCTCCTACAGAGTTTGGATACCTTGTAAGGGTCTAATCGATGGCTAATTGTTCCTGTCACCTAGTAACTAGACTGCAGTTTATGATGCTGAGTTCAAAGTTTTTTGAAGTGCACCCTACAGTTTCGGTTGTCCATCCTGTCTGTTAGCTGCGTCTGTGAAAAGACGGTAAACCAGAATACGAGCCCCAACAAAAAATCAATTGCAGAACGATGTTATCAAGGTGAACAGTTCTCAAGACAACGACAATCGGCTTTGATCGTATTCCCCGAAAGATCATCGGCGGGCTTTTATGCACTGCCCGTGATTTCATAGAAATTGGAAACCGATAGAGGAAAGTTCTCTGGATAGAAAGATCATTTTACTGCTCTGACAGACAGTCGTAAAATTCAAGATCTGCGTTCATGTGGAGTACAACGATGCTGATCTTCGTTAAAAGTTTAGTGGCTTGCTCTGGACTAGCATAGATCTGAAGGGAGAATTTCGGGAAAATAGAAGTGATCTGTATATGGTTACAACGACCGTCCCAATGAAGCTTTTTTCCCCGCGTAAAAATCCCGCGTTTACAGTTGAGTAAAATGGTTGCACCATGCAACATCAAATCATCATTTATTGTTACATCACCCCATGCCGTGCCCGACAGAATAATCCTCGTATTTGGACAAATGGCGGGGGCCTCTCCATACGGAGATACTACTTGAGGGCGCGTGCAAATAGACAAACATTTGGCACCCATCCGCAGTGAACTGTCAGTCAAGTGGTGTGTTTGGCTCTTTTTCACATAATTATTTATCAATGAATTTGGATGTTTAATCATTTGGTCAAGCGTGTTTGTGAGGGTGTGATTGAGGTTGGGGTCGTGCGGTGGGGGGGGCGAAAGATTTGTGGGAACCACCGTTATGGACACCTGCACACAAACACACCGTGAATTTGATCAGATCGAATTAACGCAAAATCGGTGAAGAACGATGTGTGCGTGCGTGCGTGCGCGTGCACACGTCTGTCCTGCTCCTTCTCAGTATGGTGTGCGTGTATCTCTCCTTTTTTTCAGGACGGGTGGGGTCGGTTCTCTGTGTTTGTGTGTGTGTGTCGAATTCGGAAGCCTGAGAATCGGAGGAAACAGAGGCGGGGTGTGGGAACAAGCGAGGAGGAACAGTCAACGCGTTGGGAACGCGATATTTCCCCATAGATGAAATGAAAGGTTACATGCGTGATTGGCAGCCTTATGAATATGTGTGCGGACCGAGGTTGTTTTCCAACATGTGTATAGCCTGTCCGTCATGCAAGCATACCCTAGCGGGGGGTGAACAGACTAGCAGGGGGTTCGTACATTCGTACGGTTTTATTATCACAGACTGATAATTTGGCCTCATTCTTCTTTTTGCGAAGAGGGAATGCGGTTTTCTGAAAACGTAGTGAAGCCGATTGAATTTTGAGCCCACTATGGTTCAGCCGTATCCTTTTTGGGAAGAATCTAGATAGGTGGTTTAATGTATCCAATGAATCTTGTTCATGAACTGTTAACAAACTCCCACCAATGAGTAGCCCGTAACTTTCGGTAGGATGTCAGTGAAAAAAGCCGGCTTACAATAGCTGGAGTCAGTAACTCAAAAGACATCTTCAATCACTCGGAAAAAGTGTGTAACCGATTGAGAAGTTATCGTTTCAGAAGGGCTTGGTAAAGAATCGATAGTCTTCAACTGGACAGTGTTTCGCTTTGAACACAGAAGCCTCATCGGACCAAGTGAGCAGGTCACCAAGTTGGCCAGGTTTTTAGACAGACGGGGAACCAATCAGTAAGACCTCTTCAGATTGGCACAATGGGTGGGTGTGGGATATCAGTTAAAGCGTCTAGTCGGTTGATGTGAGTTGGGGGAATTCAGGGGAATTTAAAACCGTTCCCTATAGGCTTACCAGTTCTAAGCCTTTCTATATTATTTAAACCGGGAGGCTTAGTGATCTCCACCGCCTCGGTCATCAGACTTTGTGGTATGAATCGTACTCCCGTCTCAAAGCCTCAACATTTTCTAGATCTACTTTGTGTCCCCTGTCCAGTACGTCAAACTGTCAGCTCTAAGATTTAGACAACCACATTACGCTTTAACTGACATCCAGTACCGATCTAGTGTGCCAATCTGAAGGGGTCTTCCTGACTGGCTCTCTGTCTGCCTTAAAACCTGGCCAACTTGGGGACCTGCCCACTTGGCCAGATGATGATTTAATGTCAAAAGTGAATCTCTGCCCATTCAGGAATCACAAACGGTTTACCAAACCTTTCACAATATATTCGTACAGAACTCAATGAAATGCTCCTACGTGTACTGAACTCCAAAAGTGGATTAAACTTTTGAGCAACCTTTTACCTAGCGGCCTCGATTTACAGCTATGTTTCTTTACATATTTCATACTAATTGTGAAGGCGGAACAGCAGTTGTTCTCTTCCCGGCTGAGCTGTCGACACTCTCTCGAATGGCTGATTATTTTTATCAGCATCCGTATTGGTGCCAGTCAGTTCAACCAAAATACTGTGTTCACACACTGTGTTTGCACAGTAGCGACAATTCCGGCTGAGCTGTCGACACTCTCTCGAATGACTGAATATTTTTATCAACATCTGTATTGGTGCCAATCAGTTCAACCAAAATACCGTGTTCACACACTATGTTTGCACAGTAGCGACAATGGGCTTGTCATGCACTCACCAGGTCGGTAAAGTCTCCTTTGAGCATGCTGGTTAGGTAGTTGAGAAATTCATCAAATTCAGTTGCCAGACCTAGTTAGGTAGCCTTCACTACGTTGAATCAGAAGTGGTTCTTGGGCTCACATGACCCTGTACAGTGTGATGGCAAGGCGGACTGTAGAAGACTTCTTTCTGTGGGCTGCGGTCAACAATCTAACTGATAAAAGCCACTTTCGGTGCTTGAAAGACCGGACATCATCACTTAATACCTACACTGTGTAGCCAGCAAAATTTTCCCCAGAGCGCCTAAACCCTCCCAACAGCAACTCAAGTAACTTCAACAGAATTAGATGAACCATTTTGTTTGAAAAGCGCTTGGTGAGAACTCCAGAGGACGAGACGAAGTTACCCAGTAGCAAACATGAGCCGTTGAACACGGAAGTTAATATCTCATCTGCACAGAGTTCTTGACAAGTGACCATTCTCAGGTGTTTTCCTGAACTATCATGGACGTTCTTTGAATATTGAACAATCATGAACAAACACCGCAAAGCGCTTCCATAATTCCTCTTGTAAGATTCGCCTTCTATCAAATGCTGGGGGAGCTTGGATACTACACCAGACACTACTCGCGTGCTTCATCAGTAGTATACACCATCAGGCTAACAGAGAGTTCATGTTGTTCCGTCCATTGGATTATGGCTTCAGGCAATAAACGTCCAGCTTGATAGACTATACGGCATCGAATGAATGGGACAATGTGCGGGACGGATAAATGTCACGATTTCTGACCAGACCATCCAGAAAAGTTGATCTCGCTCACAACAGCACAGACCTGCTTTTTAGATTCACGGACTAATTTGAACTCACTGTAACCCCATCGACGACCGAATGAAAGTTCTGAGTAGCATCCACCCGCGTAGACACCTGGGCTACGTCCAAGGAGGAAGCATTCTAACTCTCCTTTTTAATGCCGGACCTATTGTTCCTTGAAGACAGGCCAACCGTTTACTTTCCCAGTTGTCCTCAATTTGGTATGTGAGTGTGAGATTGGACAGGTGTGAGTATCGTTCATTTCAGGAATGCATTGTGGTCCATGCCGGTATTCCTGAAGTGCGAGGATGTGGGTTGAGCTGAGTTGAGTTGGGAGGACAAAATAGGGCGATTGTGACAGTTGTGTCCACTGCGGTATTTTATTTTTTGACATGTTCCGGTCAAAGCTGAGACAGATGCTGGGGTAGCACACACACACACACGGACAAAAAGCATCGTTTCACTTGTGGGTTGGTCCCACGTAGTGGTCAGTCTGTGTAATGAACATCTGTTCTTGTACCCATTCGGACAAGTTCATTAAGCGGGTATGAGAACAGACAACTCATGGTGGTTACATTGCTGACAAGGTTGTTTTATCCACTTAGTAGTACTCAGAGCAAAATTGATGGTGCAAAGAGGAGATTGAGCTGGTACCTTGAGCGGATTCCGCTATTTCGACCTTCTGATATGTAGGAAAGTGGGATTTAATTTGGACCTCGAATGCATGATGAAATCGTCGAGATTGAGAACTCGATGGACTACACCTACCTGATGAGTCTCATACAGAGCGCAACTCAACAGGCTTTCACCAGTTGTCCCTTATTAGTTGCATCAAAAACAAGGAATTCCTTTCCCCGCAACTTTTCGTATGCGGGATCAAAGCCGCACAGTCCATATCATATGTAGCAACATCGGATGCACTACTTAAAAACTTACTGGAGGTTATATAAGTAAATTGAATTATCGAGACTCATTAGCGGCCTCAACGTCTTCAAGACACGAACTAAATAAAAAAGTAGAATTGGCCTGACCAATCACTGCATAAATATTCGTGATCAATCATAGCAATTGAATGCGCTACACCAGGCCGCTTCATGTTTCAGTTGGTACGATATTCGAGATACCGCGATACATGTATAGACGTAATACACTACTCATAAGGTTGCCGAAAACTCTTCGACAGCCCACGACCGTTTTCGCCATTATTTTGCTGATTTTGTACGATTTGTGTTCAAGTAGAACGTAAATATGGTGGAACCTCGGGAGCTGCGCTTATCTGATGGGCTTCAAGAAGGGCGAAACCGGTCGTGGGCTGTCGAAGAGTTTTCGGCAGCTTTACGAGTATGGTACTACCTCCGCCCCGTTATNAGCAATTGAATGCGCTACACCAGGCCGCTTCATGTTTCAGTTGGTACGATATTCGAGATACCGCGATACATGTATAGATGTAATACACTACTCATAAGGTTGCCGAAAACTCTTCGACAGCCCACGACCGTTTTCGCCATTATTTTGCTGATTTTGTACGATTTGTGTTCAAGTAGAACGTAAATATGGTGGAACCTCGGGAGCTGCGCTTATCTGATGGGCTTCAAGAAGGGCGAAACCGGTCGTGGGCTGTCGAAGTGTTTTCGGCAACTTTACGAGTAGTGTACTACCTCAGCCCAGTTATTCTTCTGGACTCTCAGTCAATGAAACAAAGGCTTTGACAAGACACTGCACATACATTTGAAAAATTCTTTGTTTTAACGACAGACTCAATCGAACTGCTATTTCTTGAAAGCGATTTCAAAATCCTCATAAGTAATATGTTATGTCAAGTCAAGACGAAGTCTTTCTTTTCGGCCAATCATGTGTCTACTCTCCAGAAATCGAAGGTCAGGGCAAAAATAACTGTGCAAATGACGGTCTCTTCCTAACCTCTGATGTTCATTCATTTTTATCGTATTAAACTGTTGTTTTAGGCATAAAGACCTGGTGCAGCAAACTGGTGTGTTGGTACAAGAAATCTACAAAAACCCAGAGTAAAAGCGGGCGTCCAAAGATACTCAGAGGACGAAGGTTGGCAGCAAAAAGGTGTTCTTTTAAACTAACGTAACCACAAACTTTAGGCATCCTCATGCTGGATGAAGCACGACTATTCCAGTCATTCTGACAGAGGAATTTACTTGCGATTCTCGGATTACCAGTCTGGTTGATCACCATTTTTAGGTTGAATAGATGTGTGACCGGGTTTTTGGATGATTGGGTTATGGATTATCACTTCTAGCTACCCAGCTGTGACCATATTTGATCAAATCTAGGTCGACTGGCCGGAAGATTGAAGAAGCATACTGATGTGAAGTAGTACTATGTATTGCATGTTGATTCACCAAGAGAGTGAAGTGAAGTGAAGTGAAGTGAAGTGAAGTGAAGTGAAGTGAAGTGAAGTGAAGTGAAGTGAAGTGAAGTGAAGTGAAGTGAAGTGAAGTGAAGTGAAGTGAAGTGAAGTGAAGTGAAGTGAAGTGAAGTGAAGTGAAGTGAAGTGAAGTGAAGTGAAGTGAAGTGAAGTGAAGTGAAGTGAAGTGAAGTGAAGTGAAGTGAAGTGAAGTGAAGTGAAGTGAAGTGAAGTGAAGTGAAGTGAAGTGAAGTGAAGTGAAGTGAAGTGAAGTGAAGTGAAGTGAAGTGAAGTGAAGTGAAGTGAAGTGAAGTGAAGTGAAGTGAAGTGAAGTGAAGTGAAGTGAAGTGAAGTGAAGTGAAGTGAAGTGAAGTGAAGTGAAGTGAAGTGAAGTGAAGTGAAGTGAAGTGAAGTGAAGTGAAGTGAAGTGAAGTGAAGTGAAGTGAAGTGAAGTGAAGTGAAGTGAAGTGAAGTGAAGTGAAGTGAAGTGAAGTGAAGTGAAGTGAAGTGAAGTGAAGTGAAGTGAAGTGAAGTGAAGTGAAGTGAAGTGAAGTGAAGTGAAGTGAAGTGAAGTGAAGTGAAGTGAAGTGAAGTGAAGTGAAGTGAAGTGAAGTGAAGTGAAGTGAAGTGAAGTGAAGTGAAGTGAAGTGAAGTGAAGTGAAGTGAAGTGAAGTGAAGTGAAGTGAAGTGAAGTGAAGTGAAGTGAAGTGAAGTGAAGTGAAGTGAAGTGAAGTGAAGTGAAGTGAAGTGAAGTGAAGTGAAGTGAAGTGAAGTGAAGTGAAGTGAAGTGAAGTGAAGTGAAGTGAAGTGAAGTGAAGTGAAGTGAAGTGAAGTAATCGTTCAGCTTTAGCGCCCTTTCGGTGCCTAACTGCCATGCAACCCAAAGGAGGCACGAGGGCTGGGATACTGTCAGGTTGCCCAAGCCTAGACAGGGGAAATCGAGAGACAGAGGTCGGGTTCGAACCACGAACCTTCCGGTCAGTAAATTCGCGCTCTAACCACT